GCTAGTAGTAACAGGTGCCTTACTAGTAGTAACAAGAAGCTATTAGACACCAGTCTCAACAAAAGAACCAAACGCATCATGCGTGTGAGTCCACAAGTGAGCACCTGCCTGGGGTTGATCCTGCTCCGTGGTCACACCAACCACCTTGACATTGTACAAAGTGAGTTTGGGGAAGTTGCAATCATACCACGGCCATCCACCACAGTTCACAACTGCAGGGTCAAAACATCCGAACACAAAAGTTGCCACCTCCCGCAAGGCTCGTCGCAGCTGGTCGATGCTGCCCGAGCTCTCGTGCACACCTTCCTGTAAGACTAAGAGAAAGACCGGAAGGTGAAACAAGACCGAAGGAAATGAAATCGAATCAAGGAGCGTTTTATACCCCGACTCTCCACGGGGGAATGAAGGAGACAAAATAGCCCCACCTCTGACTTCGACAGCTGCCATGGCCTAAGAATCTTCCTCTTAGTTTTCCCTTTCGAGCTATATAAGTTGAACTGGGGGCACAGCTTGTGGGAGTCGCGCTTCGAAGCGTCGTACCTATACAGTTGGACAGTGAAAAGAATGGAAGGCGTTGACATTGACTTTCCGCCAGTCGCACAAAGGATCAACGCCAGGTCCCAGCTGTCTTCTCAGGGCATCTAAAGCGCCCTGAGTAGAGATGCCTGGGTGGTTTTGAGCGCGAACGGTTCTCTTCACACCCACCACTAAGACGGTGGCCAATTTGGCTCATCATGCCATCGAGAAACATTGACATCACCTTTGGGCCTCGGTCAGCGTGTGCCTCTAGGGCTGTCTTGGAGCATGGGATGTTAAGGTGCTGACTGCAGATGGTCAGAGGATGAACTCCACCCCGAACCAGCCCCACAGAACTAGAACTGATGAAAAAATCAAAGCATGGGTCAGCCTCTGCAAGCTCAAAGAAATCTTCTAAGCTGTCAATTGCGAACTGATTACCTCTTAAGTCCCACTTTTACAGCGCAGAAAGCAATCGAGAACTGTAGTGTTTCAGCAGGCTCCTCAGGAGCGCATATGTGCTCCAGAGTTGGAGCGTCAGGAGCCGAGAATCTGGCTTTCGAATCTCTAGGATGAAAGCCTTCATTCATTGCAAACAAGGACGCTACTAGTAGCTCCTGGCCTTACTACTAGGAACGAGAAGCTACTAGGAACAAAGGGCATCGCTACCAGGAGCACGGACGCTACTAGTAACAATAATTGCAAGATCTAAATCACTTTTGGTTTAACTAACGGTTTGAGTGAGAAAAAGAAATGCATGAACACTGGACTGCAGAGCTAGCAAAGACACAATCTCTAGCATTTGGCACACATCAGTAATATGGATGCACCGTGTGCATCACATGAAGGGCTTTAAAAGGCCCCTCTAAGAAAAAAAACACCACAGTCACAAGGGAATTTGGGGCACAATTCGCGCCCAAGGCCCACGCACGGCATTGCTGGGTGATGGATTGGATTTACACAATCAAGAATGGACTCAATGCGTCAAGACTCCAAACTGCTCAGATGGTGCAATAGCACCCAGACATGCGTCGTGAACCACGGGAAGGGCTTTAAGCTCGGTTGTAGGTCACTCTGCCAATTGTCTCAGTCAGCCCACCGGCACTTTCAAGCTTACTACGGCCCTCACGAACGAAGACGGCAAGCATGATGCAAACCATCACCTCAGCACATGCTCACTGTTCAAAGCCCCAAAACGCACTTCATGGTCGCAGGGATTCACGAATATGCGTAGTCAATCAGACCAACATAAGTGCCCCTCAAAGCACCTTTTTCTCATCCCTCCCCTCGTCTCTCTCTCTCTCTCCGTTCTTGGGTCTGTCCTTTGCCAGCCAAACTTAGCAAGCATGAGCTGGAATCGTCACCTTTTGCCTGTGTGCACTGCCAAGTAGACCAAGCCCCGAGCAACTAGTGAAGCAACAACCGGGAACAGGATATAGCCCTCACCTGCCATGGTGCACAAGGATGAGGCCCTTACCATAGGTTTTGTTGCAGGTTGCTTGTCACTTTGTCCTGATTTGTGCTCGCGCCTGGCAAGAGGCGGTTCCTTCCAACGTTGCGGCCGAGGAAGAAATCGTACTTCGCTTCAACGCCTTCCTGTTGACATTGATGAGCACATGACAAGAAGGTTTGCACAGCTCGGGCAGCATGATAAGAGATTGACGTCAAGGAGCAACATGGAACAACAATTGTGGAATCAGGGGGCACAAACTTCTGGTCCCCTCCTTGAAGTCATTCTTCACAACGTGGTGCTCTTGGATCTTGTTGACTGGTCGGTTGAAGTGCCTAATTGCGGCGCTGTCATGTGCTGTCAGCAGCGCAGCAGCTGGTTGCTCTATGTTTGTTCCCTGGGCCAAGGGGCGCAAAGGGGAACTCAACTTTGAAGGTTTCCCACTGTGCCAGGCTCATTTTGAAGACGTGGTCGAAAACGAACCTGCTGAAGGGAGCCATGAAAGCATGCATAGGTGGTTCTAGGTGGCTACAGTCACAAATGCAAGTCGGGAAAGGTGCCATGTGCTGCAAGATGAGGACTCCTTTAAAAACTTGAAAGGCAAATACATATATATATATATAAATGCTCCCAATATCGGCATCAACGTCTTTCTGGTTCCAACATGTTTCAGCTCCTAGCTGCGGGACCAAGCTGGTTTCATTGGCACCAACTGTTGTGGGACCAAGTGACCACTTGATCTGTTCGTGGCAATCAGGAGTAGTGAAGCTGCCGTCATAACCTGAAACAGATCAAATCGCGCTGCTAATTGCTTGGTTCGAAAGGCCAACCCACTACATGATCAAAGAACACATGGAGGTTGTGCAAGGTCAAGCTGCATCACTTCTTGGGGGTCTCTGCATCTGCGTCTTCGGGCGGGTGCGGCACATTACACTGCAGCATCGGCCCCAAACTGCGGCAGTTAGTTTGATGTGTCGTTTTGCCGGCAAATCTTGATAGTTTTTGCCACCATTTTCGAGCCATAAGAGACTAAGGGGGACAAAGCAGAATCATCTCAGTCCATCATCCAATCCAAGAGAGCCATGGGAGACAAAAGAATACAAAAAGCTAGAAATCATCTTGGCCCCGATCGATTCTACGCAGAAATTGAGAACCCCTTACAGCAAAGCTTTCTGGGGAAACGTCAATCCGGGAAGCGGTAGAAGTCTCCGTTGAGAGCTGGCCCAAAGGATCGCATCAAATCAACAGGATGCTTGGTCGTCCTTGGCCAACTTGAAGTCTGAAAAAGCGTCTTGAGTCCATACGTTTTACATCGTTTTACATCCTTTGACACGTGTTTCTGCATTCTGCAGCCATGCATCTTGAAAGTGTTGTTGGGAATCGTTTCCTGACCTGACAGGCCCACTCGGTTCGAAATGGTGTGGTTGGTCACGGTGTCACTGGAATATAGGCTGCAAAAAAGCGTAGGGTTCAGACCCAAATAGAACTGCTTCAAGAAAGGACTCTCTTCCTCGCCAATGTCGAACATGAAACCCAGAACCACCAGCGGGAAGGAGTCATATGTGTTCTTCCTCACGCCACGGCATCTTCGAGCTCCATCGCAATGTCTGATTCATGTGAACACCAAGACGCACCGCAACTGGTCTGAAAGACCTGCTGAATTTTTAACTATGGTTGATCTGACATATGTAATTTCTGCAGACTTGGGAAGGGCGAAATCCAGCCTCCGCAAACGTGCTTGACTCAAAAAAGTTCCAACAAGCGGTGTATGAGTCGCCAACACTCCCGCACAGACCCCCTGATAATACCCACTTCGCTCGCAAGATTGAATAACAATGTTCGACGATGCATCTGCCATATCCTGCTTTCTCATCTTATCATCGACGAATCATTGTTGCCGCGTCCCGCTTTGTCAAAAGCCTTCTGGCTAGAACCCTCTCTTCGCAAGTATGCCTTTGCGTCCTGACACGGAGGTTTTGTTCTAGACAGCCCCCCCCAGAAATGCGGTTTAAACACGCTTCTTCGACATTCTTCGACTCTCCGCATCTAGATAGTTGCAAAATCACCCTATCTGTCCTTTCACGCATGGCTTGACTCAACGAACTAAAACGAAAACACCGCGAATCATAATACTGTATTTTATCATACTGGAACCGACAAATTTGCCAAAGGACTCAGGAAAAAAAAGCGGTCACTGAGTCACACCGAGTTAATGATGCAAACAATGCAATCAACCGTTGCGGCATCACTGGCATCACCAAGGCTGTTATAGCGCAACAATTTGGCAACCCATGTTGTTTCGCTCTCCGCCGGTGCGAGAACTGGTGCTTCTCTTTTTGAAACAGCTTCGCTTACACTCTTCGGTAGTCGTTCAAGGCTCCACCAACTCATTGAGTTGTCAAGTTGCTCACCCTCTCAAGGCACACCAAACAGCCTTGAGGCCTTGAACCTCTAGTTTCATACAACTACGTTGGTGTTGTTTTAGAATGTTTTCACCACCCGACCTACAGGTTTTGGAAACGTGGTGGGGACATGGTTGTCAAGCAGGAAAGGAGACAAACGACAACATCTTGATCATCTTGATATGCAGGAGGCAGAATGAATTGAATTCATTGACACCCAGTGGACCCGAAAAGGTTCAGCCCAGGTTCTCTTGACCTACTGCAACTTGACGAGTGTGCACAACATGCAGTTCCGCTGAAAACTGCCGCCCATCGATCAAGTGCTCTGAAGGCATGTGAAGATGGAACTGTGCCTTGGTGTTTCTTGTCTGCTGCTGTAGCTTGCTGGGGACACGCAAGCAGCTATGGTAGTGCTTGAAAAGGACAGTGCATTAACTGAGCCCAGGGCAATGTCGTAAAAGTCGGGAAAGCCATCCTCACCAGTGAGTCTGATGTAGCCAAACCTCTGGCTGCGGAGCAAGCTGAGACATTCAACACCCACTTCTTGACCAAAGAGCTTGCTGTTTCTCAAAACTTGTCCACGCCAATGGTTTTTGTCCGTACCCCTGTGCTGCAAATATATGCAAATATCATAGCCCAGTGACATGTCATTGGTGATCTGGAGACTGTGACCATTGTTCGCGACCTTCAGGCCGCTCACAGGCTTCCAGTCCTCACTTCCCAAGTTCAGACGAGAAAGATGCATGGAACACTTCTCATTCAAGTCTGCCACTGCATCTGCTGCATTGCATTTAGCAAAAACAGTTAATCAGGTCAAATCAGTTCGAGAGGCAACTCGGCTCAAGAAGTCGCTGTTTCCCACCTAGTGCAGCCCCAGTGCGTGACTGGGAAGCAACTTTTGGCTAGAAGCAGAATGGAGTGAGCACAGGTGGCTGCCAGCAGCCTTCTCGACTTGATCTGTCAAAATGTTGATGGGCGACCTTACAGCAAGAGTATCATTGGCTACGCTCCTTCGTGTCAAACACTGGCCAGTTTCTGGCATTTTTGGGAAGCCCCTCTACCAGTCAGAAACCCTGGTGGTCACCTTCAGGCTATCACTGTTCCACCAAGCTACTGCCGAGTTCCTTCCTTGCAGGTGGGGTACATCACATCCCAACCTGGGCAATTTGTGCTCACGATGGCCACCAAAAGAAATATCATAGTATACCCCGGCGCTACCAAGAAGAGGTGTCAAGCACCCTCAGTCAAAACGGTCAATATAAAATGTGCCAAAAGGGTCAATATAAAATGGGGTGCAATAGGTCAGATGTGTTTGAAGTCATTCATCCTTGAAAAAATAACACAAATTAGCAAAATCAACGAAAACCCTGACTGACTTCAAAAAATGACCGTGACGGAAATGTAGTCATCAAACAGACATGAAATATAAACAAACAACGCAATCCAACAAGCGCAAGGCAGGAAGCTTTCTTCCAAGCCAAGGCTAAACATATAGAATGAGTTTGGGTGCCTTTTACATATAACGCTCAAAGTATCCAAAGAAATCATTATTTCTGAGACTAAGTGAGTCATATAGAAAGCGTGTGTCTGGCTGGGCAATCAGTAGTAGGACATGCCTCTGACAGAATATGCCGATACTTTTTTGCAGGGTCTGGTGGGGTAATGGTGGGCGATCCTGGTGATCAGAGAAAAGGCACTCGTACAACTTCCTGCGCCTTGCTTGCACGAATGTGGTGGGAAGTACGCAGGATTGTGAAGGTGCGCAACTCAAGTTCATGCTGATGTAGATGTACAAAGTAGTATTATATATTAATAATGTAAAAAATGTATAAATATATACTGTACATATATATAATATACATATATACAGTATATATGTATATATATATGTGTGTGCGTATAAACATACATTCGTTTCGGCTGACCCTTGGTGGCACACGCGATTTTGACATTGCAACTCGTGCTCTCTGACTAACCCATACGCCACATCTGCTTTGACGAAACACATCAAAAACCCGCCAAGCGTTTGCAGAAGCCTCGGGCCTACCTCCTGAAAAGGAGATCAATGTGTAAGTTCGTATTCGACCTGCCCTAAACAAACGCTTCCTCAGGAAGCGCCCGCCAGACTGCCAACTGGCTTATCATACCCCTTCCGAACTCCAGACCCAAATCATCCCTGATGGAAAGCCAAACTGACCCCAACTAGTAGCGTCACGCCTGCCTAAAATACGTCTGATCGTCAGCGCTTTTACAGCACGAGAAAGCCAGGACACTGGAGGTCGCCCTGACTTGACCACAGTTGTGGCAAAGAGTCCACGCTTACCGCCTACCGCTGCACGAACAGACCTTGTTAGCCAGACCCTCAGGCACACGAATGTGTGCAAGGCCCTTTGCATTGACCCAGTTTTTGCCAGTTACCGCCGGTAAAGGAAGGCGTTTGTTGCTCTGAGTGTCCTTCGGGAGTTCACACAAGGAAGTGTAATCCAGTAGGTCTGCAAAGCGAACCGTTCGATCATGTTTTGAGAATTGCACGAGGTTGAGGGTCCTCAGAAACCATGGCAGTAGTTGCTTGCATCACCTTGTGAAGGTTCGCAGTCAGACGATGAACAATCTGGAGAACGACTAGTGACTAGTATGGGCTTGAAAAGCTGTCAAGAGTGCAGCAGCCAAACTCGTGTCATCTTGTGGAAAACTTGTCTCCACAGGGGCATCCATTTGCGAGTGACTCTGGGTCTGGGATGGCTGGCTTCACCACCCGAATGCTGAGCCAGCCACAGACCCAAGCAACAACTTTCGAACAAAAGGCCTTAGCACAAGGGCACTGAGCGGACTGAGCGAACGAACGCGGAGCCTTTGAAGAAGCGGGAATGGCCTCAGTATTAGCACAACGATAAACAAATGTTCCCAATAGAGGACTTCCAGCAGCTGTGGTCGCTTGGCCTTACCCAAAGACCTGTAGCGTTTGGTTGACAACTTTGTGCAATGGTCCTTGCCACCCCCCCACAGGACTGCCAGCTGAGCCCTCCAACCCCGGGGACGCTTCGTCTTCCCTGAGCTGAAACTCCGCAGAGTCATCACTCATGCATACACCTGCTGCTTAAGCCGGGTCAGTTTAAGCCGGGTCAGTTTCGCCCTTCGTGCGCAATGCAGACCCACAAAGGCGCTGGTACTGGCAATTGACAAGCTTCGCTGACAGTTGAGTGTCTTCCTTCGCTTCAACAGTCCCAGTGCCAGTTGTGAATCAGTAGTATTGCATCCTACTAGTAACTTGAACCTGCTATCTCATGCTATCTCAGGTGCCAGCTTCAATCTTGCCATCATGATCATATTTACTGTACTTGGTCAACTGACGCTCTTGTCACCAAAGCAAAAATACCTTGCCTGCAACATCCTGCAACCATCTACGTCACCAGCTGGCGCCGTCAGCTCTTGTACCAAGCACTGCCATCAAAGGAATTGAACCATATGGAAGAATCTTCTGTGCAATGAACTCTGACCCTTCTCGCGCTACTAGCACCATATACTAGAAAATAATAGGATCACTTGTGCTGCCTTCAGTACAACCATAGCAGCCATAGCAACCACAACGACCACCACCATGACAGACTAAACAACTGGAACATCTTGAATAAGCCCCTTTAGCAAACAATCCAAGTAGAGTCTACAGCGAGAGCTCCCCAAAGCAGCTCCAGGAAAGTTACGACAAGAAAAACAACAATTCCTTTTGTTGCTCTCCTACTGCTAGGGCTACTACGGCTATACCTATAAACTCTGTTCATTGAACCTCTTTCATTTTCCAAACTGATTGAAATGTCCTTCAACATGATGGGATTACGGAAAAAGAACACGTCAGGTGAATTTCCACGGCACCCCCCAAAGATTAGGACATTTTGCCAAAAGCCAAAAGCCAATGGATTTCCGGGAAACACCCAGGGATTAGTCGAAAAACCTGGAGATTTCCGTGGAACCACACATGAATGATTGGTGTGAACCACGACATGAGCAACTTGTGTCCTTTCGTTCAGCCTTCTTGTGAAATCACTGCCAAGTTGTTTCCAAATTTTGTGCGAAGAAAGAAAGATCCGTGGCCAAAAAGCGAAGACCCACGCCGGGTAAACCAGGTAAATGCTATTCCCCTTTAGGCAGAGTTTGTAGGTATACCGCAGCTACAGCGACGGTTGCTACCACTACTGCAGGTTGACGACCACGACTACCAACTACAGTAATCACTGCTTCACGATGCGGCACGCCACCGTTCCTGGTCACCTTGCAACCATCCACTCTGGTCTGCAGCTTGCACCCTACGCAGCAGGTCAGAATGCAAACATCTGAATCCGAGTGCCGATGATTGCCGAGGAGCAGTGAACGTCATCGTATGTCCAGTGCGCATTGGGATCACACGTCTTGTGCCAGCTCAAAGCCCACATTGGAAGCCCATCCAGGTACACCTGCTCAGCATACTCCTGACCAGCTGCACCACTCTCTTCATTCACCAAACATGCATCAGCTGAGGCTAGTTGGATCAGCTTGAATCCTTGATGAACCACAAGCGCCAACTAGCTGCAGTTGCATTGCTGCTTCGGTGCTGTTCTCTATCTAATCTACTTCCGCAGAAGTTAGTCAAGTATCATATAATACCTCCTTGGGTTATCATGTTTGAAGGTCGCTCCCGGCATCTTTGCAGTGTCGAGTGCTGGACAGCAAATCTGCCATCCATTCATGTACCCTGCTACTATCTAAGGTGTCTTTAGGAGACCATACGCCAGGCATCTTGCCCTCAGTGGCTCACATGCTTCCTTCCTATTCGCCTGAAAATTTCTCCGCCGTCCTGTCTGTTCAGGGTGATTCCAGGAAACCTGCGGCGAGGGATTGCATAGGGCCTACAGTCTGGTGGAATGAAATCTGTGACGAAAATCGATGAAGTCTCGACATGGTGGGCCTCACTGAGTCCATGCCAGTGACCGGCAGCTGCAAATAGTTGATCTGAGTGAGGCTTGCAGTGATGGGCGTGGTGAGGGCTAGCCACCTGAGGTCAGCTGCACGCAGCTGAACCCATCTATCATCTTCGTATTTTTCGTACTGATATATATATAGAGAGAGAGAGATTTATACTTATTTATATGCATATATATGTATATATTTCTTCCAGCTTCCATGGAATCCTGTTGTAAAAAAATCTTCACACGGCCTCACACCCCACTTCGGGCAGGTCGGATCCACAGCGCCGCCACTGTAGAAGAGCCACTTTCCATTGAGGGCTTCCTGGATACCGCCCTGGCCATCAATCACACTCAAGGGCGCAAACCATGCAAACATGAGCAAAGCCTGAAACACCTAGCAGGACCTAGCATCCAGAAAGACAGCAGGAAAATTGCAATCTTGGAATCTCGTAGGAAAGCTAACACCTGGCCAACCAGGTTGACAGGAAGAACACGGTAGCTGACAAAAAGACTGGAGACAATGTGCAGGAGGCGGGACGGAGGGAAATCAGAAGACCGTGCAACCCAATCTGCCCACAAACAAAGAGACAGTGACAATAGGAAAACCTGTTCCTCAAGGATGGTACCACCTTGGCAGGTATGCGGTATGCGATGTCTGTTTGAAGAATGATAGCGCACAAACGAGTTGAATGTCTTGCAGCTGGGGGCCGGTTGTTTTGAGAACCATTCAGAGGAGTAAGACAGACTTCTGCGCTACCTGCAGGTCTATGGTGCTCTCGATGTGGTAGGGGTGCCGGTCCTCTTCGTGGCAATCTGCAAAGCATCGAGGAGAGAGTCCAGAGTCCAGCCGTCCAGAAGCTTATTGAATGCTTATTGTTTCCTATGACTGGACGGCTCCATTGACTCTATGACTTGGTGCTGAAGCATCAGGCGCTCCTTGATTGCCTCCTTGTAAGCTTGGAAAGGCAAACCTATCTGTCGGAGAAGCGCACTCTCCACTCCGAATTTGATCGGCACCTGAGCAAGTGTAATGCCCAAGGACTCCAGAAAGCTGCTTCAATGTTTCCCGTGCCCCTCGCTGAATTGCATTGCCAATCCAAGTTGCACTGATGAAAACACGGTGCAGTTCATCATCCCCGTAAGTGTTGTCTTTGTTCTGGGCATACTTTAGCCGCCTGTGGCTGTTGGAATGGCCATTTGAATGACCCTCCTTTGCAGCCTGTCCTGCACAGGGGCGCTCGCTGACGAAACCGTCCCGAGAAAGTGCGCAATCCAAACGTCAATGTGACATACAAACCTGCAAACCTTGAATTCCCATACCCCAGTCCAAAGATCATCGCCGCTTGCGTACTGATTTCATCTCCAAAGACCAACGCTTCAATAATGATCTCCCCAACGTGGCGCTTCCCTTCATAGGTGTGCGATGACAATGGTCTGACAGAAACCCTCAGTACCGCACAGGTTGCTCTCGATGGAAGTGTTCTTGTGACTTAGCTGTTGGCCAATGCTTGTGGCCGAGCAGCTTGCGAACCATGTACTTCTTCCCAAGGATCATGATCGTACCGAAGTTCGGGAGTGGGCCAGGTGCCCCCACCTGACCAAAGAAAAGCGAATCCACAGACCCGCAGCAAAGAAACGCCAGAAGCATAATGAAAGCACCCGCCTCAAGTGGGATGACGTCCAATGAGAAATTGCCTCAGCAAGGAGTTAGCGGAGGCATTGCTGCCAATGAGACCTTCTGAAAGAATCATGGTGATGTCATAGAGGTGTGTGTGTGTGTGCGTGTGTGTGTCATATTATGTATATATATATATAGTGTTTATGTTTATGTATTGTTATGTTTATCCTTGCCTCAACTTCTTTGACGAGGCACTTGGCTCCACCCTCGCATGCTTAATGGACGCAAAGTTGAAGGTTGGCTTCGTTGACTCCTTGGTCGAAGCCTAGGCTGAGCAGTTCCTTCAGCTTTTTCTCCACTGAGACACAACAGCACAGGTGACAGTGACGACACGCTGTTGTCGATCATGTTTGTTTGAGCATTCGCAATGCATGTTTGCAAGCAGCATTCCATGTCAGTGTGAGTAGTGGGCTGCGAAAGCTGACTGCAAACCGCGGCTCTGCTGCAAAGCGTGCGCACGGAAGAAAAGCCAGCTTCTGCGGTATACCGGCATACATTCTGTGCTCTCTAAACTCCAAACACGACAAAGGCGCAAGAGAGAGAGAGAGGGAGGGAGGGAGGGAGGGAGGGAGGGAGGGGGGAGGAGACTGTGCGTGTGTTGATCGACAACCCGAACATTTGCAGTCACGCAGCCATCTCTTGGTTCAAATCAATCGGGGACTTCACACAGCCTCAGCTCTCACAGCTTCTACTCAAACACATGTGTCTTTCCTTGAGCTGCATGAGGTTCATATGTTCCTGTCCTTTCAAAGCTTTGTGCATTTGAGCGATGCACTCGCAGCTTCATCCTCAGCAAGGCCCAGGTCCCAGCATGCTGCCAACCGGTAGCTGGTTCCGGCAGCCTCTGCTGCCTCAAAAGCCGTCGTTCTTGGGGTCTCATCACTTGTTGTGAAACAGAAAGGTTAATCATCTTAGGACTAAACAGGCAATAGCATGCTCAACCCTTTCATCACCAATCATATGTAGCAATACCATCGATCTTCAGGGCTGACACGTCTCAAGGCCTATCATGACCCCAGGATTGACACGCAGAAAAGTGCCCTCAGGTGCCTCGCAAGTGGCTGCAAAGTGCGGGCCGCCCAGCGTTGTGGTGTCCTTTCTTATTTCTCGGCACTCTCCTGCAACCAAAAAGCACAAGATTGCTTGACTGGATCGATTCCAACTGCCACAGACCACCAGTAAGAACATCTCTCTATGTTGCACGATGAAACCACATGGTGCCGCATGACCCAGGGCCTTTGACTGGGGGCCGCTTGAGCTTGCCACCTTCAAACACGCTAGAACAAGGCTGCCCAAGTTAATGAATCAATTCCTCAAGAGTCATGGCTTATGCCCACCAACCTGCCCAGCATTTCAAGGTTTCTTCCAACGCAAGTGCTTGTGCAGGGAGAACTGGAATGGCCTCACTTCAAAGCCAACTGCAGCCGTTCCACCTACACTCTACAATAAATTCGCTCTGAGCGCCCAGGCATTCCCGAGCACCAGGTATTTGATATTCTCGTGGCACGGTGGCACCGGTTGGCTTCCATCATACCTGGAACCATTTTGGATAAGAGCTTCTCACGACACATACCAGAGATAAGAAACAAACAAGCAAACGGCCGAGGCACTGATAAGAAGGGCCCTTCACGACCTCCTTGATCTCCTGTTCAAGGTCTGTTCCAAAACATAATTCCATCATAAGCAAACACTGAATCAAATTCACCTAGAAACAAGAACGCCACTAGGGGCTCCTGGCCCTACTACTAGGAGCAAGGACGCTACTATGGGCTCCTGGCATCGCTACCATCGCTACTAGGAACAAGAATGCTACTAGGGGCTCCTGGCCTCCCTACTAGGAGCAAGGACGCAAGAACTCTACTAGGGGCTCCTGGCCTTACTACTAGGAGCAAGGACCCTACTAGGGGCTCCTGGCATCGCTACTAGGAACAAGAACGCTACTAGGGCTCCTGGCCTTACTACTAGGAGCAAGGACGCTACTACGGGCTCCTGGCATCGCTACCATCGCTACTAGGAACAAGAACGCTACTAGGGGCTCCTGGCCTCACTACTAGGAGCAAGGACGCAAGAACGCTACTAGGGGCCCCTGGCCTTACTACTAGGGCAAGGACGCTACTAGGGGCTCCTGGCATTGCTACTGGGAACAAGAACGCTACTAGGGGCTCCTGGCCATACTACTAGGAGCAAGGACCCTACTAGGGGCTCCTGGCATGCTACTAGGAACAAGAACGCTACTAGGGGCTCCTGGCCTTACTACTAGGAGCAAGGACGCTACTACGGGCTCCTGGCATCGCCACCATCGCTACTAGGAACAAGAACGCTACTAGGGGCTCCCGGCCTCACTACTAGGAGCAAGAACGCGGGGCTCCTGGCCTTACTACTAGGAGCAAGGACCCTACTAGGGGCTCCTGGCATCGCTACTAGGAACAAGAACGCTACTAGGGGCTCCTGGCCTTACTACTGGGAGCAAGGACGCTACTACGGGCTCCTGGCATCGCTACCATCGCTACTATAGGAACAAGAACGCTACTAGGGGCTCCTGGCCTCACTGCTAGGAGCAAGGGCGCAAGAACGCTACTAGGGGCTCCTGGCCTTACTACTAGGAGCAAGGACGCTACTAGGGGCTCCTGGCGTTGCTACTAGGAACAAGAACGCTACTAGGGGCTCCTGGCCTTACTACTAGGAGCAAGGACCCTACTAGGGGCTCCTGGCATCGCTACTAAGCCGCTACTAGAAACAAGAACGCTACTACGGGCTCCTGGCCTTACTACTAGGAGCAAGGACGCTACTACGGGCCCCTGGCATCGCTACCATCGCTACTAGGAACAAGGACGCTACTAGGGGCTCCTGGCCTTACTACTAGGAGCAAGGACCCTACTAGAGGCTCCGGGCATCGCTACTAGGAACAAGAACGCTACTGGGGGCTCCTGGCCTTACTACTGGGAGCAAGGACGCTACTGCGGGCTCCTGGCATCGCTACCAGGAACAAGAACGCTACTAGGGGCTCCTGGCCTTACTACTAGGAGCAAGCACGCTACTAGGGGCTCCTGGCATCGCTACTAGGAACAAGAACGCTACTAGGGGCTCCTGGCCTTACTTCTAGGAGCAAGGACGCTACGAGGGCTACTAGGGGCTCCTGGCATCGCTACTAAGAACAAGACGCTACTAGGGACTCCTGGCCTTACTACTAGGAGCAAGGACGCTACTACGGGCTCCTAG